ACAAAAAAACAATCTCCTCACCTTAGAGGTTGCATTGTCCCAAACAGCTAGACCAAAGTAGTCTTCTTCCAAAAGATTGAGATGTTCACATACTCGCTTAAGTAAATCTTGTCCCTTGGCATGTTTCTGCAAAGATGTACATATTTTAGTTGAGGTTTCCTCTTATGCCCACAGTCATCAAAATATAAAGAGTCACATTCCGATATCCTCTTTAACCTTGGACATGACACCAAGCTTTCAGATGGCTACACTATCTATCTAGAATAATAGGAGTTACAAAAATCCTGTTTCTCCGCTTGTCAGTTTACACGTTACATTCCACAGTGACTTAGTGAAAATGCTGCAATTCAAACCAAATCTACATCCTCTCCATCCACCATCCATCATCTCTATCACAAACATTATATTCTTTATTTTTGGTTTAACTTTCCTGAAGCATGCTATGGATACTGTCAATCACCATGACCACCTAAATTAACTGAATCAACTGTCAACACTGACAGTTAATGGTTGCTGTGGAGTTCATTATGCTCCCTACCATTTCCAGACCAAATGTCCCAAGAGACAATCTCTGAAAAGAAAAAGAAGGGGGGAAAAAAGCATGAAGTGTAAAACTTCAGATACCTTGCAGACAGTACCAATTGGAGAGGTTAAGTGGTACTATCCAATTATTTTCTTTATAATTCTTTACTTAGAAAATCAAGCCGCCTCTGTAAGTATTTGGGTCTTATTAAGGGTAAGCATAAAAGGAGACCCTCAACAGGATGGATAGACCTGGTGGCTGCGACAATGGACTCAATCAAAGGAATGAGTGTGAGAGGATAATGTAGGACCAGAGAGTGTTTTGGTCTGTTGAAACATGGAGTCACTATGAGTCAGAATGGACTCTACAGCCCCTAACAACACCCTGCCTATCTAGGGAGAAAATGCTCTAAGTAGAGGTTGAGATTTAGAGTCAAAAATTCCTCTTATCTTCATTTACTAGCTAATCAATCTGAGTTAATGAACAATTCCAAAAGCTAGCTGTATAACAAGAATATGCACTTGTATACTAGATTGGAGTTGGAGAAAACCGGCTATATCTACCTTCTGAGAAATATATATAGTACAATAATTTTTAAAAATTGAAAATAATTTTTGGCACACATATCTGACATGTCTTTCTGTCCTCAATAAGCTGAATTATTTTTAATGACTATTAGTAATTCATATGAAGGTGGTCAGATGGCACAACAGTTAAGCACTAGGCTTTTATGGGAAAAAAGACCTGGCACAATCTGCTCCCATAAAGATTACAGCCTAGAAAACCAGGGCAAAATGCTAAGGGTAAACAATAGAGCAGCAAAGGGAGCAAAGCAATGAAGTTCCCAGGAAATACAAAAAGTAGACTTTGGGGCCAGGATGCGGCAGACTCATCCAGAAAACTTTCCTAAAGATCAACAAACAGACCTGCAACTATTTATAGGCTTTTTTTTTTCTGTCATTAGATTTTGTTGTTGTTGTTGTTTGTTTGTTTTGCTTTCTTTTGTTGTTTTGTTTTGCTCTGCCTTGTTTTTGTGATCACTGTCTCTACATGTCTATCTAGATAAGATAGGTGGGATAAACAATCTGGAGGAGCAAACAACGGGACCGATGATTCTGGTGGTACAGAGGAGAGGGGGAGGTG